AAGGGGATAAAAAAGCCCGCCTCCGCGGCAGGAGCGGCCAAAAAGCCCAAGGCCCCGAAGCCCAAAAAACCCAAAAGCCCCGCTAAGCCTCTGAAGTCGAAAGGAAAAGCCAAGCCCAAGGCTGCCACGAAGGCGAAACCCGCCCCTAAAAAAAAGTGAGGCTGTGCCTGGCGGCGCTGCTTCCAACACAACGGCTCTTTTAAGAGCCACCCAAATCGTTCCGAAAAGAGCTGCTTTCGCAGATTGGAGAAAGTACTTCCCTTCACCTATTGCAGAGAGAAAATAACGGAAGGGTAGCGTGGCCGAGCGGTCTAAGGCGCTGGATTAAGGCTCCAGTCTCTTCGGAGGCGTGGGTTCGAATCCCACCGCTGCCAATAATTTTCTCGCAGTTCTTCAGCATCGCGTCCCATAAACGTGCTTCATGCTTTTATTTCCACACCTAATTGACTTTCCCGGCTTTGTGGGGAATAAAGCCTGCGGAGTGCAATATATCTTAAAAAGGAACACAAATGTGTCTTAAGACAGCAAACGCACTGATTTGTCCGTCTAAAGCTGCCAAACCCCGTGCGCGCATCTAGCATCCCTGCCTGATTTCCAAGAACAAAATGAGGTTAACGAACACCTAAACACGCCCAACGCCGACGAGGATGGGATTCGAACCCACGCGTGCAGAGCACAATGGATTAGCAGTCCATCGCCTTAACCACTCGGCCACCTCGTCGCGCGTCCGGGGACACTCGTGGCTTTCCCCTGCCCGACTATACTCGTGCAAAGATGCGAGCCTTGTGTATTAAAATGAAAACGTTCCACCCTGTTGGCATTTCCTGTGGCCCCCTTTCCCCCCCCAGGATTTCCGCGGAGGTTGGTCTTAAAGCCGGAAAGCAAGCAGGGCCCCGCTGTTCTGTACGCTTGCTCCTAATCTGACTCCGGGCAGTTTCCCTTCTCTGTCTCTGGGAAATCCGGGCGGGGATTTTCTCCCACCTTCGCCGATCCGCGTTCAGGTAGAAACGGGGGAGGAAGAACTTCTGTCTTGCTGGAAAAAGTGACTAAAAACACTTAAACCGTACGTTTCTCCCACTGACACGTCCAACAGAAGAATAAAACCTGCTCATGTTGCTTGCACGCCTTCGGGGCTGCTAAGATCCGCACGCGTGCAGGAAGCCAGATTTGCACGACTGATCTCGGTCTGTCCATCGGCTCGGCTCGAGGGACCAGGGGAAAGCGGCTGCCCCGCTTGAAAACGGGTCGGGAATCTTCCGCCAGAGAACAAAGGAGCTGGGAGAAAACCGCAGACGCCCATCTGGCAGCCGTTCAAAACAAGAACCCTTTAAGACACAATGAGGCAAATATCCAATCTTGGGTTTGGTAAAAAGAAAAGAGAATTGAGGTTGAGAAATCCCCAAAGGGCTTTTATCCTCTCGAGAAGAACAGTAATACCCTTTTTAAGAAGGAAAAAAAGGAAGTCCTGCATTGGCCGGGAATCGAACCCGGGCCTCCCGCGTGGCAGGCGAGAATTCTACCACTGAACCACCAATGCGTCGACGGGAACCATTCTCCTGCCTGGTTCTATAAGCTTAAAGGGCTTCGTTCCTGGAAACTTTCCCTCCCTCTCCTGGAAATCTCCTATGCAGATTCCTTCTGAGGCTCCCTTCCTCCCAATTCTGTAGACTGGGTCTTCTCCAAAGCAGGAGCAGCGGCCCAGCCTGGCTGCAATTGCACTTTCTCACCCTTGGCCGCTTTAAGAGGAGTGGACTTTAACTCCCAGAATC